TCCTCTGTTATCATGAATTAAATATTAACTTGCTACTTACTAAATATTATATTAAGTATTAAAATAAAAACAATTAAATAAAATAGTTTCATCTATAAATGTAGAAACAATTGTTAATTGTTTTCTTAAATTTTAAAAATCAAAATGAAATTACATATAAAATATTGAATGGATTTCTTGAAAATACACCGTATAATATCAATTTTATAAATATATGTACATTGTAATTTTTAAATATTAAATTTAATTGACTTGTCAATTAAAATTTGTATTTGATTACATAACGAATAATTGACCGTAAGTATTACCTAATAATGTAATCATATAAGAAAAAAATTTACAATAAATATATTATATTATTCTGTCATAGCTTTTGCAAACAGTATTTATTATTAATTACAAAAATATACAATTTTAATAATTGCCAAAATATTTAATGGAATACAATACATTCAATATTTAAAATAATTGAAATTTATAAAATAATCCAATATGAAGAATGAGTAAGTTATTTCTGTAATAATTTATCAACGAATTAATTTTTAAAAGAGTCATTGATCTTCTTTAGGTTTTATATTCTTTCTACTATAGAGTATATATAATTTACTTAAAGAAACCAAAATATATAATGGATTATGCCATTGTATCTTAAACACAAGGAAAAATAAAACATTTTATTTAATTATATTCATTGTATAGTATATAAATTTATTAATTAGTAATTCTACATATGTATTTAATTTGTAATTATAAAACAAGATGAGTTCGCTCTATATATATAATTATTTATATTTGTTAAGTAATTTTAAAAGGATTTTTGTTATTAAGTATTTGTGTTGAAAAGTTTGGCGAATGAGTACTAAATCGAATGCCAATAGAAAAGCAAGTAGAAAAGGCAGAATAGGTAAGTAGGACATTCCGTAAGTGTCGTATATCGTTAATGTCCTCGGGGTATCAATCTCCAAGATCTACCGTTAACCGCACGACTCTCTTTCTTATCCATCACATTCTGTAAGTGCAAAACAACTACCAATACCAATATTGCATATTTAACATAAAATCTTATGCAATAATTTGTAAAATAAAAAATAAACTATAAAGACAAAAGAGGCAGAATTACGATTAACGTATATTAAATTAAAGTATTTAATACTATAATAAAATTATTTATTTTTCTGTATGTTAAATAGTTATTACTGATTGGTTAAATAAATGAAAATATTCAATAATAAATTCATTCGATATAACTAGAAAATTACACTTTATGCATAATATTAATTTGTACAAATTAAAAAAAAAATCATATACGATATGTAGTTATTGCAATCTACGCACGTGTAAAGTTTACAACAATATTTGAATGTTTATCATAATAGTAAATAAGTGAAAGAATACATTACAGAAAAGTTGAATTATTATTGCAAATTATATTTATTTGCAATGAGAAATATTTTATAAACTAAATTCATTGACAAAAAAATACAGAATGTTGATTGAAATATATTCATATTTATACTTTGATGATTTAAATTTAATAGCACATGAAAATTTTTAATATTTATGTGTAATATTAATCAATATTAAAAATTGTAAATTCACACAATTTTTGTTATATATACTTGTATATATTCACTAGAGATATTATCATATTATTTGACACAATTATTACATACAATTATTTTTAGCATTATTAACAATGTACGTTACTTCTTTCACTACTAACTTCTTTCAAATTCAATTATACGTATTATTAATAAAAAAAATTAATCAAAAATAATGACTAATATTTTCATTTGTTAAACATTATTTTATGTATTATGAAAAAATTCTTTCTATTATAAATAAATAATATATTAATTTTATATAATACAACTAATTTTTAATAGTATTGTAATTAAAAATATCAATTTAAAAACGTACACGTGTAAGTTGGATTTTATAAAAAGACGTCATAACAAATTGTTGGTAAAAAGAATAAAAATTAATGAAGCTCCCTAAAATAATGAGAAGATTTAACATTTGGGATGTAAGAATAATTTTTTTTAAAAATTCAGATTTCATTTTGCAATAAACTTTAAATCAGATTATATAAAATAACACATAAACATTTAATATCAAAGTAATCTAAACTTAATCTTAAAATATTAAAAAGTTATTAGTTAGAGTAGATAGTCTTTCTGTGTAAGTTTAAAAATTTAAAGTACTTTTTGAATACATTTATATTTCAAGACTAAACAAATATTGTTACATTCAAATTTAACAAATAGTTTTTATTTTAACTAATAAATTACTGATAAATGACTTCTTACTAATGCACTATCATATATATTTGTATTAAAATAGTTTCAATTGCATGAAATTCGATCAATATTCCATATGCGTATATTGCATCTAGAAACTTACTAGGTAAAAGTACAAAAATGTTTATTAATCGCAGTATAACCTTGCCTCTTTTAAGTTTTGTATTATTTTATCTATACCTAATATGATTACTTTAATGTATATCACTTAATTGTATATTGTAGTTTCCGACTGATATGACCAATAATTTATAACTTTATGCATATTATATGTTTTTAAACATTATTTATCATAAGTTAAAATTTTATATTGAATCATTTCATTTTAAATATTTAAATTATATTAATAACTTTTATTAAATATTAATATCCTTAATAACTTTTATCGTACCAATAAAAGAATAGTGTAAAAATAATTATTACATTTAAATTAACTAGTATAGTTCATAGATTATACATATAAATTATTTAAAGTATCCTCGTCCTAACTTCTCGTCAGTAGTTTGTAACTGTGGCACTCATACTACATTCATGTTGGTTTCTAAATTAATGTTTTATTTCCTTCTCATTTGATGCATATTTCGTACACGGTCTATTACTTTTATATACTTTTATTAATTTTTCAATAATAATTTTATAAGCAGACTTATTATTTTTAACTCTTCTTAATTTTATTCGACTACTTCCCTGTCGTAATTTGATACGTTATTTCGTTTAGTACTATTTGTACAGTTATCACGTATGCTTTGCATTATGAATTTTATCTCTAATTAAATAATTTAGAATAATTTTCTATACAATTTTTTAAAGTCTTGTATATCGATGTTTTTGACTACTTTCAATTTACCAACAATTTTTCATTCACAGTATTTAATTATTTCTATATCATTTTAATTAGTTTCTTTATTTGCTTTCTACGTATACCGTCTTCATGTGTGAAAATTGATTTGTTCTGAAACGATAAATTTCTTTGTATTCAATTAATTCTTCAAACTTTTAATTTTTCATATTATTTTTACTCTCAAATTGAAAATTTTTGTTATCATATTCACTCATTTCTTCTGATAAATTAAAAATATTTACTTTCTTTTATTTTTATTTTCTTTTAATGTTGTTATTATTATATTCTTGAGCAATACTTCTTATAATACTTATTAGTACGTTGATTATCAATTTTAAAATTCTTTTTATTTTCAGTATGAATTCCGGATAAAAATAACATCTAAGAATTTCTGTAATTTTGGTTAAAATATTTTTGGTCAAAATACTCACAAATTTTTTTCAAATGCTTACAATGAACAATAATGTATTATCTTTTTTATGTGTTAATTATGTTTCATTTTTTAATACATGTTTATCATGTATTTTTTTTCTACAAAACAAATGATTTTCGTTTGGTAATCAAAAAGATAAAATATTGGCATTAATACTACTTAATTAATAAATGATATCCTTAATTGATTACTATAAAAAGAAAGTATGCACATATTAGCAACTTTATCATTTTTAGTCTCAATAGAATGATCCTATTTGAAGTATGAATAAATATGAAGCAATATATGTCATTTTCTGTGTAAAAATTTAATCAGTTATGATATAGTTAAAAGTACGTTAACGGTATTACATTCTATAATACTTTTGAAAAAATAGATATTTAATATTTATCGGTGTTTTCTACGAGATCCAGATTTTAAGTCATTATTTATAATTTATAAGATGACGAAGTTTTTTTACATATTGATTTCGTATTAAATAATATGAATATACTGTTATTTGTTTAAAAATAGTCCATTAAATCTGTTAAATATCAGAACGTTTAATACGTTTTTAAATTTTATTAAACATTTTGAATAAAAAATTTATAAAAATAATCTGTTATTTATCTTTTTACTGTATTAAGCTGTTTTGCTTTGATTACACTGTAATAAAATTTTATTCTTAAATAAATTGTCAAATTTATTGATACAATTATAAATATATATGTAACACGAGATTGCTTATAAATGAACGTAAAACAAAATGTATAGTATACAAAATTCTTTTATAAATTAAATTCATCTGTATTGTTAATGATAAAATGATGCTGTATCAGTATTGTTTAAAATGTTTAGATCTTTAATAAAAGCAAATTTATTTCCAATTGTAAAAACAATTACTCTATATCGTGTATTTAAAACATTAACTTTATTATTTAGAAGTTTAATTCTACAATACGAAGATATATACTAAAACTACGTCTCTTAACTTCAATAAAAATAGAAATTGAGCAATATTTTATCACATTATAATCATGGCGAAGCGCACATGTCTTTTACATTTTATCATAAGCTGCCGATGATAGTTGATGATCTATCTACTTCAATTGCTATTAGATAACATATATATATATATATATATATATATATTCATTTAGACAAAATACAATTTTTAAACAAATTAATTAATTAAAACATTTATTTATATAATTCATATTGTAAGAAATTAATTTTTTTAACGAAGGGATACTATTTAAATGAATTAAATTTATATGTAATATAAAAGTATAAAAAAAAATTATTAGATCATTAATTACCATTACCATACCATTCCATTATATTTCGACTGATACAAGTTATCTAATTAACATGGCAAATAAAGTTGAACATAAATATTAACTTTATACAATATAAAATTTATAATTACACAATCTTTTTTACTAACCTTACTAGAAGGCTTCTGAAGAAATGTAGCTATACCCGCGCGCACGCGATTTTTGACACCGCGAACGGTCCCCTTGGCACTGCGAATGGCTTCCCTTTCAAGGATCTTGTAACCAGCGAAACATTCATCGTCATTCTCCATGATTTTTTCCTTATTACTATCTATGTTCTTAAGCGACTCTTCTCGCTCGTTTATGTGAAATTTATAATACCGATCATCCTCATACACATAATTAGCAATGGACGGATTATCATTAGGCAGCCCTTCAATCGTAACAATAACATTATTAATATTACTCTCTTGTTTACGTTGCCGATCTTCATAGGTACACTCATTTACCCTCCCTAATATTGAGTCAGTTGGATATGTAGAAGATGACTTCATATTTATAATGTCTGAGCTATTGATTATTGGCATTGTTGAAGTTTTCAGTAATTTTACCGTTCCTGAATTTAACGGAATTTTTTTTGAAGGCTTATTATAATTGAAAGATTCTTTCTTTGAATTATTTAACTCAGAATTATCTAAGTATTCATTAATGCTTGTAGCGTCATTTATAGATGTTACATTTTTAATGACATCCTTTTTATTCTTTATTGAATTTCCCTTATCTATACGATATTGTTTGACTGTCCCTAGCTCTAAGCTTCTTGAAGCACGAAATTTTACAGTACCACTTAATGGAACTTCGAGACTGTTTAATGAATCACAGCTAATACTACTTTCGTTATCATCACTATCTACTTCGGCTCCACTGCTTGTCAAACTTCCAGTCCTGTCGTGGCGTTGATGTAAATGATAGCTGTGACTAGCTAAAGTATTGCTAGTAGTAGTAGTTGATAACCTCGTAATACCTGTATTGGAAGCATTTTTTTTAGGTAAAGGTGGAGGTGTGCCATCTAAATCACTACAAGTGCCACTATCAAGGGTTTCAGAAGGTGAACTCTGACCGCTTGATATCACCATCATATTTAGTGGACTGTTATAATAGAAACATGAACCAGAAGAACGAGTAGTATTTAATGGTTCTGGTAGATTACTGCAGGACTTTTGATGAACTATTTCTCTATCCTTTGCATTTTCAGAAATAATATTTACGTTATTTTGAAGAAGTTTGTCAGAAATACATTCACTGCTCGAAGAATTAGAACTGTTACTTCCGATATTGATTTTTGTGTAAGGTTCGGTATTCATGGGTGTATTTTTATTATTATCATTTACAAAAATGTTGCTGTTGCTATTAGTGCGTTCATTGTCATCAGTTTCATTATCATTCATCCCATTGTTATTATTGGCATAAACTGTGTTGCTAGATTTGTCGTTACTGATGCTACTGGTTTGAAAATTGTATACTGATGAAACCTCATCATGATTAAGTGTTACAGCTGATATAACTTTACTAATATTGTTATCACACTTTGGATTAATTTTAATTTTAACTACGTGAGCCGGTTTTTTCATACTACAATTTTGTTGAGTGAGACATTCAGTACTACTAACAACGGATTTGACAATCGATTCATATCCGCTCTTCTCAGACTGAACTTCTGAAGCGATATTACTAACTTCTGTATGTATATCTACATCGGAAAAGTTATTTCCAACAAATACCGTTGCTTCACAAGCTGCAGTATTCGTATCTTCGTGAGAGAAGGCTTGTATTTTTGTTACGCTGTTAGTATAACTATCGTCGGTAGTTAGAGTTAAGATTGTTTGCTGCGCCTCAGATCCATGCTCTTTGCTATTGGGTATAAATTCGTGAGATTGATGACTGATGCCCGACTGATGGACCGTCAGTACCGGCGATACGCTCATCGTAACTAGTGCATCCATCAAATATCATTCGATCTAGATGTCCGGTATTTTTAATAAGCAAAAACAATTTTTCTGATAATAGTGATATTAAAATAAAATCCTAAAGAAAAGCGATAACCTGATGATGATGATGCTGATGCCGATAGGTATTTTCAATCTTTTATTGAAGAGAGCTGTTTAAAAAATCAATAGATCGAATAAAAACATGTATTATTTTTATTTTATAGAAAATAATATTACATTAATATATTAGTAACGTTTATTATAATAATACTTATATATATATATATATATATATATTAATCAATTATAACCATTTTTACAAAACGTAATTATTACATATTATTACAAGATAAAATCTCTCAGAAAATTATTTTTATATATATATTTATACATTAAATATTTAATGCGTACAGAAGAATAATATAAAAATAAATAATTCTACTTCAATTTATAGCTTTTCATATGAAAACTTAATCTGTACAATATACGTAAAGTTAAAATATTTGTATGTATAATTACGTATATATTATTTAAAAAATATATATATATAGATATTAACCATCTGTATATAAGAACTATAAGTGTAAATATTTTAAATGCTACTGTGGATTATACAAATGAAAAATGTGCATATTCATTACTATATTATTTTTTATTTAAATAAAATTATAGATATATAAATACATATGTTTGGCAATAGCATAGTAAAGCTATCTATACAATATTTGAAAACAGATTATATATGGTTAAAAGTGAATAATTTCATTTAAATACTGTTAATAATAAAATATGTACACTAAACTTGAAACATGAAAATTGTTTAAACTATAACGGTATTCTTAAAAATTCTGATTAAATGCATAAATATATTAATTTCAGACTTATTATAAAATCTGTAAATATTTTATCATAGTAATATGTAAGCAAATTCTATCAATTACAAAGTAATAGTTATTTCATTCACAATTCTAGCGTATGTCAACATAATTTATTTAATAAAATTAATACACATAATTTGATATTATAATTAATTTAATTGAATATGATGCAACAAACATAATTAAAATAAACAAATAAGAAGAGAAATTTGAATGAATTTATATATAAATAAATATTTTATATGGTATAATTTTTTTTAATTATTTTAACTAAATCGATATCGAAAATAAATTTCGTAAAAATATTTTGAAATATTTTAAGATTGCTTGTTAAATTTATTGAAAAATATTGAATTATCGATTATAAAAACATTACATTTTAATATAATTTCAAAAATTTTAAATCTTTATTGGAAAAAATTTTATTGAATGTAAACAAGATGCTCATATATACTAATAAAATATAAGAATTGCCTTTCAAAATAAACAAAAATGTGTGAAAATATAAATTATACTTTCGATTGTGATTTTTAGTCTATTTTGTGTAAAATCGAAATAAATGTTATAAGTTAATATATAAAGATAAATAAGAAAATTAATCTTATGCTACTATTACACATAATGAAATGAGTGAGGTTTTATTGCCCAACAAAAAGGGAGTTAAAATGTTTCTATTATTTCTAATATCAAGATAATTCATATAAGAATAGCAACAACTGTTTGCAATTAAATATAGCCATGATAATTAGTGGTTTAATCAATCCGAAGAACATTAAACACTTGATGCACTACAAAATAGATAACCCAACCAAGAGTAATATACTGTTCAAAGGACTGGGACAAGATCTTACAAGACAAATAGATAAATAATGATAACAAAGAGAAGAGATATCAAGAAGAGAGAAGGTAAAGAAAGATAGAGAGAGCAAAAGAAAAATATCACGTTCACCGATCACAAATGGAGCGTGAGAACAGTTAGAAAACTGAGCAAGTCATGTTTACTATAATTACCACCAGGTATGTGAGTATCATTATGCTTATTTACATCTATTCAGAAAGAGATAAAGTAAACTAAGGGAAAACTCGAAATAATTTTGAAATAATGATTCAATTTTTTAATTGCTAATTCTTTATAATAAAATTATATAAAATCGGAAATATATTAAATTATAAAATCAGGAAGATTACATAAATAATAACAAATTATTTTACATAAAAGTATTAACAAATTAACTTTTATGAAAATCAATAATTATTGGTTATATTTACCAATAATAGTTTTAATTGACAAATTTGTATAATTGAGTATCTTTAATATTAATTAAAAACTGTAAAATACTGTAAAATAAAATATAATAATTATCTTTTTCTAATCTAAATCTATATTATAATTTATTAAGGGGATTCATTATTTTATCTTTATTACAGTTAATATTAATTTTTTAAAGTTAAAATTCATATGTAACATCTATATTGTTTACAAAATTTCCCAAAAGCAACAAAATTTTTCTAAAATTAATTTGAATCGAAAGAATATATTACAAATATATTACATTCTAGGGAATAGTGAAAATTAAAAAAATACATAAATATGTCGATATTAAAAAATTTGCAGTACAATTTTCATAGTTAAAGTAATTTCATACATTAAAAAGAAATTTTAAAATAACACTAAATGCGTTGCCAACAAATAGTTATTATTGATTTTATATAATTTTTCTAAACGATAATAAAATCTAATACAAATATCATTATCATAAAATGTTCTAAAAATAATAAATGATTGTTAAGAACGTTAACATAAGACAATCTCCAAATAATTACACTTAAAACGTTTTAAAAACATAATATAATATTTAACAAATAATTTTTCTAGTAATTATAAAAACTGGCTTGTTTTTGTAAACAAATCATCGGGACTTTGGAATGTATAATTTTAATAGATACTATGATAGCAAATTCATTTATCACACACATTTAAACAATACAAATTAACCAATTTAAGAATAATTATAATTGTCATTTCTTTCATAAGTTTTTCTTATAAGATCTGATTTTTAGAGTCTATCAAAAAAACATTTTTAAATTAATTTATTTAATAAATTATGTATGGATTTACATAAATTATATTTTATTACAAAAAATATATATGCATAATTTTCTTAATTATCTTTTATAAAAATATATATATATATATTCTTGCAAAATAGTATAATGTGAATTATAAGATAAAGAATAAGATATATATAAAATACAACGTGAAGAATGCAGATTTCCTTATAATTTCTTAAAAACTAAAAGACTGTTAGAACTGTCAATGATTCATTACTTTTATGTATTTTGGATTCAATACGAATACAAAAATTACATACATTTCAATCAGATTTAATATTTTGGAAAGTATTATTGTATCTTTTTTACAAATTTATGAGAATCCATACACATTGTAAAAAGTATTTAATAATTGCTAAAGATATTGTTTAAAGTACATTTCAAGTATATATATAAAGAAAATTGTAAATTATTGTAGTAAATAAAGCATTAGTAAATTTTGATAATATGCATTGTGAAATTTTTTTTAACATAGTTAATCAATTTTTTCATTAGCCATGTATATGATATTCTTATGATAGACTTTTTATTAGCTATAATAAATAAAAATAATATAGGTTTCTTTTCAATGCAACATGAACAATATGAATTATTAAATAACAATTAAAGTCTACTAGAATCTTTCAAAAAGATTTTATTAGTCATCTATTTTTATAAATATATAAATGATTTTATAAGAAACAATAAAAAAGCTTTTATATTCTGAAAGCTACTTTTATTGTTGGCACTATAATTTTGAAAACTTAAAAAAGACTTTCACTACGACATAAATTAATTCGCCAATATTGATTACGCATTTTAGAAATTAGTACGTAACAATAAACTAAAAATTATTCAATTATATACAATTTTTTATTTCTAAAAGATTAAAATAATTTCTCAATTTTTAAATTTATGAAAACAAAATTATTTAAAAGTTAAATAATTAATTAAAAGTTATTTATTTTAAAATAAATAATATACATCTAATGTATAGGTAAACTTTTAAATATTTCTAATTCATTAAGAATAAAAATCTTTCTAAATTATTATATTGAGAAATACTTTTAATGTGTTTTTGAATGTTTCAATTCTCATTTAAAATATGAAATTCATTTTTCTACTAGATTTGTAATTATATTTTAAACATCTGTATTTATTTATGGCTAATGATTTTGAAACTTTTATTGTTTCTTTTTTTCAATAATTACGAATTAATACTTGATTCAAAAAATTATTACGATAATTCTTATGACAAATAAAGTTAAATATTTAAACCTATGTGTTTTTATATTACACAATTATTAATTAATAAATAGATTTCAGTATATATTAAGTTTTAATTTTAAAAAATTATTAGAAATCATAATAAAGAAATTCTAATTAAAAATAGTTATATGAATATCTTTTAAATAATGAGAAATATGAAATATAAAATTATTGGAAATATCAATTCTACCGAAAAATATTGTTTTTAAATAATTTAAATGCTAAATACAACATCTTTCACGAGATGATATTTCATGATTATTTATTTGAAATTATTATAATAAAATTAAAAGTAGATATTAGAGTATTAAGTATTCCTTTTTAACATTAATTAATTATAGTATTATATTTTTCTTAATAGACTCCTTCCATACAATATGGTAAGTTGTACATTCGAATTGAACAATGATTTTTTAATTTTTAAATCTTGAATTTAACATAAATTGGTAAATTATAAAATTTGAATAAAATTTTATAGAAATAGCTTTTTGATATTGAATGAATTTATGTATAGAATAATATGAATACATTATTTTGATTTCTAATTTTTTTGGTTTTATTTTTTTGTAAAGTTACTAAATGTATAAAACTGTATATTTAATTCGATAAATTTCAACGCAATAAATTCATTTTATTAAATAATTTTGAATTTAGTCTTCAAAAAATAAAAAGTAACTGTCAAAAAATAATGCCCTCCTTAATTTATAATAAAAGGGACTTATTTTATCTTTATAGTAGTCAAAAGTTGTTAAGGATATA